TGCACTTTCCTCAAGTATACTGAAAGTACTGGTAATTTCCAAGCGAACAGCCTCTTTGCTGCATTTCTCTTGGACCCTGAATGGCTTTCGTACCACGGCGGAATATGAACCGTGGACCTAGTTTCTCCGTCGGTGTGCCTATAGACGTGCACTGTCTGAGTGTGGCGCTGTTGTGGGCTGGACATCAGCTCCCATAGTTGTCACATGCGTCCTTTTCGTCTTTTCACCTGTATGCCACTGAACAGATGCGCAATGATGCGTACATCCCTCATATCTCGCCTGTGCTCATGACAGCCCCTGAAGCCGGGGCACAGCCATGGAATATGATGACACATGTCTTCATTGCTCCCTCTTCCTTCCTTCCTTCCTTTCTTCTCCTTCTTTCCTTTTACGAATATTTTGATTGTTTTTATCCTTCGTTCCTTAATTCCTGACATAGGATTGCCCTTTGATTTCCTCTGAAACAGGATATTCTGACTTTTTATTGATCCTTATTTGATCTTTTTTGATTTTGATCCACATCCCCACGGGGGCGGGGGGGCGGGGCGGCCAAAAAAATGCACGCACACTTGCAGCAACTTTCAGGGTGTCATTGTCACACCACACTCTGTAACGTTCTCGCCTCCAATCCTCCCGGGAACATTACATTTCTTGTGCAATAGCGGCTTTGGGGTGCGGACGCTCGAGGTAAATATTTTAGAGATGTATTTACAATCTAATCAAGGAGATTTTCCCGAATTTGACGTTGTAGACTGCCGACGTCTATCAAGATAACCCCGGCCAGGGCATGAAAATAACTCAAACTTTCAAGTGGACGTTGACGGACTGTAGGGCCATGGTGTTGCTGCTACCTCTGTGGAGTAGACAGAACTCCAGCGCTCCTCCAAATCTAAGTGGACATCCAAGTGGCTCATGTAATTTAAACATGCTTATCTTGTATACGCCCTTATGTACCCAAACAATCTCTTCAGAACTTCAGAAACCCTACGGCCCTACAAGCGGCCAAGGTCCGGCCGAAGTCTGCCAGCGTCCTAAATTCCCTGGACAGACCTTTCATCCACTGCCAAAACGGTCTCTTCGCAGCCTGAGGCGTCGGCCGTCCGTGACTGCAAAACTGGTAGACCATCCACAGGACCGCTCTTGCAGGAGCTGCTCCAACCGGCATCCATCATGCTGTGGCTTGCGGCAGTCGCAGCGGGACAGGTTTTCACTAAGTCACGACAAAAGGAAAAGGAAAGATAAATGCAAACTCCGAGAATGAAGGCATTCGGTCCATGATCACGTTCAAGATGGTGCACCAACCCCCAATTAGCTTATGCGTCAGGGCGTTTGACAACCACTGCTTCGGATCAGCTCCTTGCTCGTGCTCATGACGCTATCGGGAAAGTGCGTGGCATGTGACCTCCTTTTCCGCATCCCCATTGCCCAAACAAGAACATATCCCAGGCTTCGAAAGCACTTGAATTACTTCAAAACATGCGAGCTGCACAGGAATTACATAAAACTCAGCGAGACCTTTGAGCCACTGCCACTGTGAGGGCCCTGCACATCTCAATTCAAATGCTGCGGGCTAAGTTCTACGCAGCACTCGGAGCCATCCTTCATAGCGTTCAGAGCGTCGTGCTGCGGGCTTTGCAAGTTAGGGCTTTCAGTTGGACTTTAGTTGGGATATGGGAAGGGTTTCCATACTGTGCTCGGAAAATCCGCGAACCCACACACACGCGCGCGCGAAGTCTAAGGTCTGACGAGTTTCGCAGTAATTCCTTGCAAGTCCGAGCATTGCAGGTGAAAGTTAGTCTGTAAATGTTGAAGAAAAGATCCTAGCAAAAAAATATTGACAAGCAAGAAGAAAATCTAGACAAGAACATTGCCATGCACACTCACACGTGCAATTCTGCATGCGCAACTGCAGACTGCGCTCATTGTCCTGATCTGCGCAGGCCCCTCACCGCTAGCCGGCCACCCTCTCTGAGACTACACTTCGGAAGGTTGGGGCCCAGCACTTGGGACGCTCGGTGTAGACTTTCCGTAGCGTGGTAAATCCAAAGACAGCACATGTCCTCCGTACAGGGGGAGAACATGGGAGAACATCTACCAAACAAGCAATGCGGTCACCTACACGCCCTTCGCGTGTCTCTCATGCCCTTTGCGAATCCGATGAGCACAAGTTGTACGTGGGCACTCGCTGATAAACCAACGTCACATGGTCCGCGCCACATACCAAGTATCGCAGCAATAGACATTGCAAGGTACGCTAATACGACTTGATACTCATGATGACGCTTCGAGTCTCTGCACATCAGCCAGCTGGTCCAAGTACTACCTTTGCTTTGGCTAGTGTGACTAGTGTCCCCGTTGTTGTGGTTCTTACGTTGATTACGTGTTATGTTCCTTTCCATGGTACTGTCTCTTGCTACGACAAGGCTCCAGAAGGACTGGCTGTCAGTCAGCCTCGATCTTATGTCAGTGCTACAGTTATGTCTACCATGTTCGAGCAGCCAGCACATGCAAAGTGATCAAATCCTTCTGGCGAATCCTAGTCCTCGAGAGGCGCTGGCGCTGCTTGCTTCTCAGTGCAAGTTTAGAGGTGCGACTGTTGGGTTCGCATCATTCCTCCATGGTCTTCTCCGCCACACATTCCCCAGTTCTTGGCTGAGGGCAAGTATGGAAATCCCGCCGCTTGTCAAGTTCTGAGTCGACCCTCAAGACCGTTTGTCGTGAGCCATGCTTCATGATTGCGCTTCAAACGTAAAGCCCACATGTGTGACCGCATATTAGTCGGAACTCCTGACGTATATTTCTATACAAAAAGTTGAGTTAGCTTTGCGGAAATACGTCAGGCCGAGGGTGCACTGCCCCGCCAAAGATCTGATGTTGCTTAGATCAATTACCCACGCAGAACAAGCAGACTGAGATGTGTGCTTTCTAATATATTTCGAGCAGATAGCTGCTGGCAGCAGGATCAACAGGCCCATGACTGGAGTTTGCACAAGACATTCTCTGCCATGCTTAGTCCATGCTGGGCAAGGAATGGCAAGAAGGACCTTGGACTGAACGACTAGCCGCGCCATATCGTTCCAAATCAACGCAAGGAGACCAGATACGATGCGCCCAACAGAGTGATTAGTGATGTGTCGATGCAGACATGCAGCACAAAAGGGTTGAGATGCAAGCTGACGTATGGCGTCATCTTTTGTCCTTCGCGGAAGAGCAGCTCAAGTAGCGCATGTGGCTTCAGTGCAATGCCCCGTATTTGTGGCAGACCACGGCAGCATGCAGAGCTGGTGATGTTTATCCTTCCTTGACACCAGGTCGCCAGAAACTACTTCCTGCTTTCTAGGGAGCGGGTAGATGAAGATAGATAGGCTTCACAACACAGCTCACCTCTTGACGGCTAATGCAATCAGCACTTAACAAGCAATGAAACCCCGTGTTCGTCTTTTCCGGGCTGATACTTACTTGCACTTCCAGGATCCACAGCCAGCGTGAAACAGCTCTGGCATTCTAAGCGAAGAGGTCCGGGTCTGGCAGCTTGCTTGCTCCGACAGAAACATAGCGCACAGGAGGGACGCTCAACAGGCTCATAGTCTGCCGGCACGCAATGCCTGACAGGTGGAAGCTGGACAAGTACTTTGCAGAAAATGGTAAAGTGGTGCAGATTGTCAGTCTGCAGGCCATCAGTGCTGTGTCTCGATCAGTACAGTGCGTTGTCTGTGCTGGTAAGTATAGATGGGCATGCGTGGTGATATAGACCACAGCAGATCACGGTCAGTCAGGCGCATGGAGACATCACAGGTTACAATGCTTGAGCTTTATGACAACTCCATATGCTCGTGCTCATGGTCTATCTGGGAGGCACAAATTATGTGATATATGCAAGTCGTTTGGAAAGGTACGAGTACTTGCAAACAGTAAAGCAGAAACGGGAACAGACCGGCAGCTGCAAGGTCAAGCAGCATCAGTTGCTGGAACCCCCTGCCAAGCAGCCTGGAAATCCAGCAATTCTCTTGCCCAGCTCGCTGGCAGCTCGGCATGTTTCTTCCTCAGCACTCTTCCTGTCATTTTTCGTTCTAGCACAATGCACTGAGACGGTTTTCTTACCGGACTTGGCCGCTGGCTCTGCTCGGCCTGACCTGGTTCAGAATGCCGAGCTCCTGCAAACCCTGGGAATCGAGGGTGCCGCTGCTGATGGAAAGCTGTGCCGCGACAGCTTGGCCCACAAGCTCCCCCAGGCATTCCTTTGCTGTCCCAGCAACATATAGCACCACATCAAACATAATGTACCACAATGTTGCATCTGACGCCCGTGACAGAATTAGGCCAAGATTCTGGTGGAGAGATAATCGGCAAAATGAAATCAGCGTCCAAAGCCGCAATGCGGTAATCGCATGCCAAAACCAAGTTCCATGATGGTCCTGAAATCCTTCCCCACGCTGCCAAAATAATCGGCACACCTACAGCAAGCTTGCACGAACAAGGCACAGGAACTGGCCGCACTCGAGTCTAACAAACACTGACCAAATCACTCTACACCAGTTTTGCGCCAGGTGGCTGATTGCACGCAGCCCCACAAGAAAAGCGCCACTTGCGAGTGCGTAGCTGTGCAGGCTGTCTGGTCCAGGCACACCCTCCAAATGCATCACAACGGCCTGTTCACTGACAGCGTGCTGCCTTCATTTGCATGAATTATACGTTGCAAAAACTTGCAAGACCAAAGGTGCACAACGACACACGTTCATGCAATAATGCCATGCCAGTGCCTTTACGTTCTTCCGAATGCGTTGCATGTTGTGGAGTATCTCCACTGCTGCCTCCAAGGACTCCTTTCCAAGAAGCTAGGCAGGTATCTAATTAGTTACCCTCAAGTGAGCATGATTTTGTCTGCCGCAATCCAAGATACAGCATGGCATAGCTCTAAGATGCTCCTGCCCTGTGTACCCCCACACTTTCAGTAGGGAATCACTGGCTCGCCTAAGGACCCCACACGAAATACCCACTATCAAATGACCCCTCTATAAAATGAAAAACTATCTTATAGGTGACCAGGGCTACGCATTTCATAGAGGAATAAGGAAGCCGCATGCTCTAAGTTTGCACGACGAAGTGACGCATGCCTGCAGCCCTGCCCTTCCAGCAACAGAAAGGGCAACAACCATTGCATGAAAACTGGATCCCCGTCCTGCGAGGCCATCTCGTTGATTTCCTTAGCGTAGCACACCCAGGAAAGCGAACGTGACGGTAAGACTTGACTAGATGATACTAGATGTACAAGTATTGCTGTTCTGGCCCACGGTTGCCGACCAATCAAGTGCAATTACACGATGTAGGCCGATGTATGCGCTATCCCTAGGGTCAGTTCCAAAACGGTTCCAAAGGCACAAAAGCCGTGGCAGCATAACCATGCCAAAACGCAAGGTGAGCGCAGTTGAACTCGTCGAAGTACAGCCTCTGCAAAGTTCGTTGCCCAATTGTCTGATTACTCCAGACTTTTGGGGAAACTTACCCGCGGCCATTACAAAGCTACGCGTACTCACCTGATCTCTTCTGAGTCTTCTGATGGCAGGAAGCTGGAGATTGCTTTGTGCCAAAATTCCGCACTTCAAGCTCGTGCCTACTGTAGTCTGCCGATCACCTGTTTTAGCGGATTGGAAGCGACTGAGCTACAGGAAAAAGAGCGTGATGAGATGTTATGAGCGATAAGGCGCACCTTGAAACGCAACTGCTTTTTACGCCTCAGCCCTGACCAGTGAAATTGTGCAGACATCCCAGGTGTTCGGATTACGGCTGCGTCGCTTCATCGCATGCGCCAAAGGCATTTATGAGCACAACTGCCTGCTGGCTGATCAGCTCTCCCATCAAGAGTCAACATGTAAACACCAGCACAACAGCACCAAACTCCAAAACCCACTCTCTAAGGAATCATCCAGCTGCCGATCTATTTCTTGTTGGGAAACACTTTCCGTTCAAGATTTTGTCAATTTGTCATAGGCTTCTGCGGCTTTCTGCTGATGCAATCGTAAAAGGGATTCTGCGCCCCACTAAATGAAGCGCCTTGAAGAGCCTGCAAGCGGTGAGTGGCTGTTCTGTAAACTCACGGGCAGTTAGTTTGAGTCCATGAGTTCAGAACCTCAATTCATTCGTTTTTTTAATGATCTCACGCATGCATGAGGGCAGTTTGACAACTGTTCCAAAGGTTGCTTGCACTTGTTTGACAAAGCCTGGCGGAACTTGATGCAGCATCTCCGGATCCTTCTCCATCAACTTTTTTGATCCTGGAACGAGCAATCATAAGAAATCCAGCGCGTAGAATTGCTCGCTTCATAAAGAAAAATGACATCAATAACACAAACATGCCCCAAACTTTCGCGTAGCCACTTGCTCTCCGCCATGTTTTTGTGACAGCGTCCACCTTAGCAAGGAGCGTATATATCTTGTTCTCGTGTGCGCACTTTGGGTTTGACCTGAAATGTTTAAAATGCGGGCACACACTCCATCCTGAGATGCCGCTTGGACACGCAGGCTGCTAGCAGCACTCTGACGCTGAGAGAGTAATGCTGCGGGCCGCACATTCACGACTCCAAGCAAGCGTCAAGCTGTGGTGGGGCCTGGAAGTATGGGTTTCTGAAATCTTCTGAATGTCTACCAATCTGGGAGATCCGTCAGGTAAGCGGCCTTTTTGGCTGCGAAAACTCTGAGGGGCACAGCCACCTTACTTGTAAATCATGGGAGAGGATGAGAGCATGTACATCTCACTAGATGTCATTTTGCCGAGATTGCGTGTCGCATCTTCACCTTTGATGGCGCCGGGGATTCAGCCCTGCGCAACATTGACGAAGATTCAAATATTTGACGAGTCACCGAGGTGTTCATGTCGGGTCATGCTTGGTAACGCCATTGAGTGAGAACAGCAATGGGCTAGGAACCATTCACAATCTCAACCCCGAACCAATTGCAAAACATGTGGCAGGATGAGAGCAGGAAGATCCACCGGATCCCCGTAAGCTACACCAGATCTGGACATAAGGGTGGGGGGGGGGAGGGCGAGCGCAGCAAACAGTGCAGATTGACCACAACTTGGGCATGTAAAAACTGCCAAAGCCCGTCCTGACAGTCTCAGCTTAAGTTTGATGATACATGAGAATGCCAATGCTGGAGTTGGATGGAATTCGCGAAGAGGAACCAATGAGAACAGCTTCGAGAGCATACTGCCCACCCAGTTGCTGGGACGGAGTGCCAACTTGACAACCTCACCCAGTCAAGCCGACGACAACTGATGATAGAGTGGCATGGGCTAAAGGTGACGGCCGCCCCCTTAAAATTTCACAATTAGTCAACACACAGCCCCCAGTCGAAGGTGCTTACCATCCTGCAAGGCAGGCTCTCACCCCAAGCGGCAGCAGGGATACGTCTGCTTGCCGAGCACAACCACGCAAGGCCATCTTGCGCAGCACTTTCGTAATCATGTGTGTTCGCTGTCCGGCAGCAAATCAGAAACCGACGCCACTCATCGGCTGGCTTCATGCGCATTTGAACGGATGCAAACGCTTCCCCACTTCCGTTTTGGTTCCATTAGTCATCCCATAACGCGTTGATGCTACATCATGCTAGCAAATAACAACTGCGTGGAGCAAGCTTCCGTACACGCACCATCGCACAAGGTCTTCCGCTCTCTCCCTTTATGAGGTCTTACTTACGACTTATACTCAGCAGTTTCGACGAGACTCGAGCCTACGGCAGTCTGAAGTAGCATAATCCAAATTCAAGTGCACGTCTAAGTTGTGGATCTTTCGTTGATCTGGCCGTTCGTCTTGAAGCATGCGAGGTCTCAATATTCCGCACAGCCACAAGTGCCAACAAGAATTCCTATCCAGCTGGCAGTCATACTCCAAAACGTGCTACAGCACCAGCCCTGGCATGGGATGTATAGACTTTGAGGCACACGGACATCACACGGTCGCCGGCCAAACTGTGTTGCACAAGACTGGCCCGGATGTTTGTGTGGTGAAACCCTAAGCACAGCATAGCACAGCCCTAGAGCGTCTCCAGGCACAAACACCGTGCTGACTCATCCTCTGGCGTAAAGACCAACTCCAAAAGCCTGGCTTCAAGGCTCGTCAAGCGCCGCCACCCACACCACAATGCACATCAACCCGTTAACAAGGAAATGCAGCACTGCTTCAAATGATCACTTGCTTCGACATCTCAGGCTGCAAGGGTCCTTTGTGTAGGCATCCGCAAACTTGGCAACGTCCGAGTTGCTCAGCGGCTGATACCTAGGAGTGGCCAAACTGCCCTGACAAGCCTTTGCTGGATTTGTCTGAGAAGTAAGTGCGTGGCCACCTGTTTGTCGGACAGTTGAGAAATTTGCCTGGGGTGAAGGAACTTCGGTGCACTCAGCCAGCGGATTGAACTGCAGATACCTGCTACTAGCACGGGCTGATGCAGCGAACTTTCTGCATTCAACGCTCTGACAGGATACCTTCATCCAACTAGGCAACAAAGTACTACTCTTGCTCTGGCCAACTCCCTCATCTTGAATAGAAATTCAACCGCCCGACATCCTGAGCCTTAAGCATCTACTACTCTGTTGCAGAGGAGGGGTGAAGGTCTGCTTGTCCGCAAACATGCAAGCGACGTTAAAAGCATGCGTAGAGCTCCTGAGCTTTGTGATGCGTGTAATCTATTTAAGCTTTGCCTTTTGAATCAACAGCTATCATAACAGATGCAAAGGATAATAATGACTGTGAGCGGTGCAGGATTGACCAGCATTGATAGTGCCAATAACGATATAGTGGGGCGGTCCTTGAATCCTCTGTCTGTTGTTTTTGAAGCAAAAACCGCCGATGACCCAAGACTTAAGCCTCGCGCGGCTTCGATCCATCGCTTGCCCAAGCGCTTGCTCTTGAACTGCGAAATGCCTCTCCAAGCTTAGGGCCTAATCTTTGAGCAACCGCCTTTCGGCAAAGAATCTTGCACAAAGCAGGCTGGCCAAGACTGAGACAAAACTATCCGAAGGACTTGTTTCAAGAAGTGTTGTTGCATACTGAGTTCGAGAGCTCTAAAAGGATCTTCGCAAGATTATCTAATATGCCGCTTTCAGGCTTGACTTGCAGCTCATATGACCAAAGCACCCGGCAAAGGGCAAGGCGGCCTTGCTCACTTAACAGAGTTTAAGAGAGTCCGCGTGACTTTCCTGCACAATGTTCATGGCCCCCGGCAACCATCGAAATGCTGCACGCTGTTTCAGAGTTGATGCATGTGGCCAATGCCTGTTAATGTTGGATCCCGATTAGTGTGGGGTCCCCTAATTGTGCGAAGTTTCGCCGAAATTATTCAGCACCCCCTAGGTTCGTTTGGGGCCCCTTAATTGTGCGAAGTTGCGCGGCCAAAAAAAAATCAGAGAAAAATTGACTAACATAAATAAACCTAACTTGCTTTGACAAACATTGCATGAAGTAAGTATTTAGTTTAGGGTCCTAATCCAAGCTGCTCTTGTTGCTTAGACTCCAGGACCTCAAGTTTCCGGAACTTCAGACCTCAGAACTCCAGATTTTCAGATTCCAGGCCAAGTCCGAAGGTATCGATTTCTTATGAGACCGCTATTCGAAATTCAGCAGGATCGGCTCGGATCCTAGGTTCAAATTAATTAGGATGGATCAGGATCGGCTCGGATCCTAGGTTCAGATTAAATTCAATAATAGGGATCAGGATCTGGGAGCTTGGCTTTTAAATTCTGAAACTATAAAAGTAAAAGGTTTTAAGTTTCTGCCATTTTTTGCGGTCCCGGATTTTACGGACAATTCAGGGACCCCAAACCATTAGTATTATTCAAGATCCGGGCAGCTGCTGGACTACCCCTTAGGAAAAATCATTGCTAGGCCTCCTCGAACAAGCGGTCTCATGAGAACTCGATAGTTTTGGACCTGGCTTGGAATCTTAAAGCCCGGAGTTCTTAGATATGAAATTACAGACACCCGACGTCCTGGAAGCTTGGCTTTAAATGCTATTGAATTTAATTTAAACCTAGGATCCGAGCCGATCCTGATCCATCCTATTGAATTTAATTTAAACCTAGGATCCGAGCCGATCCTGATCCATCCTATTGAATTTAATTCAAACCTATATAG